ACCAAGGGCAATGGTCACTCCATATCTCTCATCTGATGCTTTTGTTGGAGATGACTACCTACTGGCATTGTATCTGAACTAAAAGTGTGTGTGTGGTTTTAAAACCATTTGCTTCCGCTATTTCAGATTGAACTGGGTTTGTAATAACTTTATATTCTAAACTCTGATGTACCCAACTGTGATTGCAAACTTTATGTAACGTGTGACGGTACTTGCTAAACTTGTACGATCTTGGTTTGTATGTCGATTGGTTTGAAATCCTTCGTGGTTTCACGGACTACCAGGTTATACGGGCTTAAGTTTGCTAAATTATCTGCTTCGGCGGAAGATTTCGTTACTTAATCTCGTATAATTGGTCGGTTCTGTTATAGATCACGCCATGGAAGGGAGAGCTCACTGGGTGGAGCTCTGACCGGGCGATGCGCATGGCGTCGAGGGTGTTGATGTAGAGAATATTGAGGTCGTTGCCTCCGTCCATCAGCACCTTAGTGAGGCATTTCTTGCAGATGATGGGGTTGACGACGAGCGGGTAGCGACCCAGTCAGGCGACGTGGAAAGGATGGTCTCTTTGATCAAAAGTGATCGGAGAGTCTAACCAGCTAAGGAAAGAGGAGATGGCCGACTCGGCGGTGCATGCCTCTCTGTAGCATACCTTATGTTGGCACTTGGAGTGGATAGCATCGGATCCCCCAAAGATCATGAGGAATTCCTCGGGGTTAGGGAAGCTATCGTCATCCTTGCCTATCGCGCCTCCTTTCTTGGCCTCCTCCTCCTTGCCTTTCGCTTCCTTTGGCTTGGCGGCTTGCCGCAAGAAGCGCTTGAGGAGCTCGCAGTCCTTGTAGAGGTGTTTGACGAGATAGGCGTGGTTGGTGCATGGGCTCTCATGAGCTTGTCGAAGTGGTTGGGCTAGCCCTGTTGGGGCTGCTTGCCTGCTCGTTCGGCCGCAGCGACCAAAGCTGGGTTGGCCAGTCGGCACCGATCCTTCTTGTTCTTCTTTCCCCTTTGTGTGGGAGGGCACTCGCGCTTGGCCTTGCCCCTGTCCCTGACTACCTCCTCGCCAGAGGCATGGTTCGTGGCGATGTCGAGCAGCTCATGGGTGCATGGGGCTTCACACAGCTGAACTTATGGATCAAGGACTCGTAGGTTGCTCTAGAGAGGAACGCGCTGATGACGTCCGCGTCGATGACATCAGCAAGGGAGTTGCACTGCTTTGAGAACCTACGGATGTAATCTTGCAAGGACTCATTGAGCTCCTACTGACAGCTCTTGAGGTCCTTGGAATTCCCAGGATGGACATACGTCCCCTAGAAATTTCTGACGAAGACCCTCTTGAGATCTGCCCAGTCGCGGATGCTATCGGGCAGAAGGAATTCAAACCATGCAGATGGGGATGTACTGGATGATGAAGTAGTCATCATCCACTCCTCCGGCTTGGCAGGCAAGCCGGAAGTCTTCGAGCCATACACCGAGGTTAGTCTCCTCGGTGTACCTTGCGATGTTGGTGGGCGATCAGAAGCGTTGTGGGAACGACGCTTTCTGGATGCAACGACCAAAGGCCCGTGGCACCGGGCCATCTGGGTTGGGGCTCTGGTCGTTTGGTCGGCCACCATGCCTAGGGTGCGTGTCCCTGTACTCCTCGATGGTCAGGCCGAGGCTCGCACCGCTTGCTCTCGCCACCACTCGATGGACGTCATCATCATGCCGGGCGTGGCGTCGATTGTTGATGCTACTACGAGCGTCACAGTTTGACCTGAGCCATTTGCGCATAGGTGGTCGGTGTGGAGTGGGCACCGAGTCGGGCTACGGTGCAGCCGTGGCTTCCTGCCCCATGCCCAGCAACTGTAGTGGTGAGTGGATGGAGCGATTTAACTGGTGCAAACCTAGTCCTCCGGTGGGCAAGAGGCCACGAGCCGGTGTCATGACGCGGAGCTCTCCGCCTGCTAAACGGCGGCGGTCTCCACTAGCGCCTAGAGGTTTCGATGGATTGCCTGCTCCTAGAGTCAGCAGGCTCAGGGAGGCCGTGCAGAAGCATCGTAGTAGCAGTGATGTTCTGGCCAGCCCAAGCAAACTGGGGGGGGGGTCATTTCCTCCATCCAAGATGTTATGCTGGACCGGATAGGAGTGACCCCGAGCGCCGCTCGTCGGGTTACGCGCATGTGGCGCAGTGTGCTACGCCGAGTACGCCAGCGTAGGTGGTGGCTGTCTCTACCGCCTTTGTCGTAACTCCTCGCCGTGCTCCTACGCACGCGCCAGGGCCTTCGCACGGGGATCCAGAGAGGTGTGAGTATGTAGAGACTCCACTACCACCGGTGGCTGTCCCGGGGCGTCCGCCATAGCGCACTCCCGAGACAGAGGGTGGCCAGGTGCCACGACATCGCCCATGCTAGAGCCATCGCTTTCGACCTTGTCATCGATGAGGTCATGGAAGGAGGCAGGAGTGTAGCCCGCCATCCCCACGAACTCAAACGTGAGAGGAGGGGCGTCAGCATCCTTCAGAGCCCCCACGTGCACGCGTCCATGGGGGATGCGAAGCCGTAGAGGAACTGGTCGCACGACGGTCACGGTGGGGACAATGGGGTCCCTCTAGAGAGTCGTCGAAGGGTGCTAAATAGTGAGTAAAGAACAACATGTACATCACTCACCGTGGGGTTTGAGCCCAGCATGGGCTCGAGGCGAAGCGCGAGTGTCTTGACGTTGAGGTCGTCGAGAGGTCCAGGGTCGGTGGGGGGCGCTCCTCCTCCAGTGGACGCCGGGACGATTGCCTCCTCATGGAGGCGAAGTATGTCGAGCTAGTCGGCGATGAAGTCCAGGCTTTCCGAAGAGAAAAGTCTGGAGTGGCTTGAAGATGGGAGGAACCCACATCCCAACAGGTGGGAGCGTGGGAAACTTCAGCGAGCTGAAGCGAATCATATCGCTCGAGCCCGCCATGCCGAAGATGGTGGAAAGGTGGGCCATTCGATGACCAAAAGCGTGAACGCACGGCGTCCTCCCCACGGACGGCGCCAACTGTCGGTGCGAAATTTGACCAACAAGTAAATATTTATAGTTTTGCTGTGCGTTGTGATCAGATGTGGTCTAACACTCAATGACACAAGATTTATACTAGTTCAGACAACGTGCCCTACGTACAGTTTCAGTCAGTCGGTGACTTTATTTCTGAGCCTATGTGCTCGAAGTTTGTTGTGTGGTTACAAACGAGTAAGGAATGAGAAGGGGGTGTTAGAGGCCCGGTCGGACTTTGAACCGAATGGAAGAGAGTGACGGGTGCTCTAACGTGCGCTAAGTAATGGAGCGTATGCTTTGTGTAGCTGTTGAGTTCTAGAGCTATTGAGCTATTCGAGTCCTCAGGTCGTCGAGTCCTCGAGTCGTCTAGCGTCCCTCTATTGGGAGAGAGCGTATTCCTTTTATAGGTGAAGGGGATGGCCTTACAAGTCAGTGAGAAAGAGAGAGAGAGTGCGTACATGTGCTACGTAGTTTTGTTGCTCACACTGTCGGGTACGAGATGGCTGCCAGCGTCCACAATACTATTTATGCCTAAACGCGTCTGGCAGGCTCTACCGTGTTCGCCTAGTACGGCAAACGACGGCGCCCACAACACTGTTTATGCTCTGACACGTCTGGAAGATTGTAGAGTGTCCGTCTGTCATAGCCTGGTGGCACCGTCTTGCAGGTGCGCAATATATGGCAAGATACGATCCTCGGTATTGCGGTTGACTTTGAGCGCCTTATCTTATTTGCTCCGCCTGCGTCCTGGGCCCACACCGAGCGGGCGTCCCCGGTCAGTTGCACCCAGTTGGCCTCGACCGTGTCGGTCGGGAAAGAGCAGTGAACAGAGGTCCGGCGTATCCTCGGTTGGAGAAAGGGGGTCGGGCGAGGCGGAGCCTGCGACCCAGAGGTCGGGCCCCCAACCCGAAGGTCAGGAGAGGCGGAGCCCCTGACCCAGAGGTCGGCCCTTTCTACCCCTCACTCTAAAGATGCCCGGAGTGGTTTGTCGAACCCATCGGTGGGCCAACCTTCGAACTTCTAGGCGTAGACGGGCCGTAGGAGCATTTTTAGCTTCGTATCCCTCTTTCTTGTGATGGGTCGTGGCCTGTTCGGGGAGGTCCTGGTTGCAGGTGCCGGTCAGGGATCGAATCATGGTCTTGGCCTGTTATTGTGTATCTGGGCCGGTCCAGGTGTGTGCTGTCGTTGCGCTGCATACTGGGCCGAGTTTTGTAGGGAAGCGGATCCATTGTCAACCCCGGGTTTATGAACCCGATAATTATAGACCACACAAATGAATTAAAATGATCTAAAATTTTAATCATAACTTTAGTCAACTAAACTTTGCGCATGAGAATCCAACGGGGTGAACCGGGAGCCGTGCAAAATGCGGGCCTTATTTAGTTTCTTTTCTTAAAATTTAGTCCATATCACATCATATGTTTAGACACATGCATGAAATATTAAATATAAACTAAAAAATAACTAATTGCTACTACTTTACGTGACGAATTTTTTAAGCCTAATTAGTCTATGATTTGATAACGGTGCTACAATAAATATATGTCAGTGACAGATTAATTGTTTTTAGCCGAGCGTGAGACTGTGACTTGTGAGGAAAGTCGGCGCTGCCGTGGGCCGGTCGCCGGGATTCGTCATAAACCGTGGGATGTGGGGTCCAAAACCATGGCTCGGTAGAATTTATTACTACTGCGATATTTATAGGGCTGCCTCAAAACAGGGCGAAAACTGGAGTGGCGTGGCCGCGTTGAGGTGGAGCCGCACTCTTCTGAGCTGTCCCTCCCCTCTGGATCCTACTGCCGGCTGCCGCGCACACACCCATCCGCCGGCCGGGCCGGGCCCCCATCGCCGTCGAGTCGCCTCTGCATTCCTTCCTTCCCAGGCTGCCGATCAGTCCACTCCTCCGGTCCTCCCACTTCACTCCCAGCTCCCGAGCCATCTGATCTGCTCTGCCCCCACCCATCTCCGTCGCCGTCGCCGTCGCCGTCGCTTTCGCCATGGCTTCCCACCGCCACTTCCTCCGCCTCCTCGACGACCCCTTCTTCCCCTTCCCACCGCCGCCACCTTCCTCCTCCTCCTGCCCGTTCCTCCTTGATGGCGTCTCAGACTACCTCTCCCCGTTCCCCGCCGCCTCCCCATTCCGCGACCTGGACGACCTCCTCCTGCCCCCGGCGCCGGCGCTCGACCCCTTCTTCGCCTTCCCCACGACCCCGTCACCCTACGCCCCGCTCCTCCTCCGCGACCTCACCGACCGCGTCGCCGCCCTCGAGCTCGCCGTCGCCACCGCGCGACGCCGCCCCGAGCCCCCCGCCACCCGGAAGCGCACCTACGTCACCGAGGCCGGCGGCCGCAAGGTCAAGTGGACCTCCGTCGAGAAGCCGCGCGCCGGGGAGCGGACGCTCAGGTGGGAGGCCGAGATCAAGTCCCCCGACGACGACGGCTTCGACCGCAAGTGGAAGTGGGAGGCCAAGGGCGGATCCTCCGCCGCCGGTGGTGCTGGCGCAAGGAAGCTCAAGTGGGGTGCCGCGGTCAAGGGTAAGGGATGTCTCGAGCCCTGGTCCCAGGCCTACACCTGGGAGGAGGACTTCACCGCCAGCGACAGCGACGACGAAGAGGTGGAGCGCGCGGTCGACAAGACCAAGACCAACAAGGTCACCGTGAAGAAGAAGAGAAGAAGGAGGTCAAGACCGTCAAGAAGGAGAAGAAATGCCCCTTCGCCACCGTCAAGATCGAGGAGATCTCCGATGACAACGATGCTGGATGCGTCGCCATCAAAAAGGTCAGACCTTTTCTTCTGCATCGGTCATTCTTCCTCACTGGTGACTGGGTGGGTTTTTCGTCCTCACAGGGGTTTTGGACGGTGGTTGGGGCCAAAAAGGTTTACTTTTATTTTATTTTTATTTTGATTTTGATCTGAACAAAAGGTTAGATTTTAGCAGGATTGGGAGATCCATAGACAGTTGTTGTGTTAGAAGAGTTTGGTGATGCTCTACCGTTCTAGATCCGCATTCCTGGCTTCTTGTACTGACCTGCATTTTCCTCTGATGATTGAAGGCATTTGCTAAGGGCAACGGCAAGGGAAAGAGGAAGGAGCTCTCCCCACAGGATGCTGCATTGCTCATCCAGATGACCTACAGGGCTCACCTTGCTCACCGCTCCCAGGTGCTTCGCTGCCTGCGTGATCTGGCTGTGGCTAAAGCCAAGCTCAAGGAGCTCAGGTCCCTGTTCTATAACATCTCCTACAGGCACCGCATTGCGCATGACCACGAAGAGCGCCAGAGGTTCTCTGAGAACATCATCGTGCTGCTCATCACTGTCGATGCGCTCGAGGTGAGCTGCATGTTTTGTCATTGTGTTTCCTTAGTTACATTGTTGCGTTGCGAGTTGAGTTGTTGCATTGTTCGCCAGTGTGATATATTTGTCAAATCTCTTTATGCAGCATAAGTTTCCAGTGCTGCGCTAGTATCTGAAGTTCAGATTCTGAAGTTATTGGTTAAACTAATATTGTTAGGAAAATAGAATCATTGTACAAGGATTAAAAAGCTATTGGGGATCATTTTTGTTGTCTGCTTCTGTATGTTTTTGTGTGCACATATGATCTCTGTAATGAATTTAATTGCACATCCACATGCATCACCATAAGGCCATGATATAGGCTTATTTTAGATAGAGATATTAGAAAACCCAAAATTGCTGCCCAGAAAACATACAAAACACTGATTTACTTTTGACAATTTTTTTCTAGGTAGTATATTCACTGATGCTGTGAGGTCTAAACCTTTAGTATTGTTTGTCTTAGTATATTCACCGATGCTGTGAGGTCGAAACCTTTGAATATTGTCTTGGATATTATTATTCTTAGGTATTTCCTGCGAAGACAACTTTGCATAGTAGTATTAACATTTGTATGGCTGGTATTTGATTGATTAATAAGCAAAAATTCATGCCAGTTTGTTCCTTTAGAACGTCTCTACTGTTTTGTTCATAAATTCCTGTTTGTATGTCATTCTATCCCTGGGTTCCCATATAACCAGTAAAAGTGAATGGTGGTTGGCATGCATAAATCATAATACAGTTCATTCTGGGTTGCTTTGTGGTTCGTGAAGTGTTGGACATTAGCCTCGGACTCTGACCATCTTTGGTGCTTGCCCATGAATCCAGGGACCTGACTACATGGTGAGGACCGCAAAGAAATCTATGCTAGAGGAGCTTGAAGCAATGCTGGAGGTTGTGGACCCTCAGCCCCCAGGGAAGCAGAGATCACTGAGCCGCAGGAAGTTTGATCTCCCAGAGGGTGGAGCCATCTCCGATGAGAAAATGGCTGCTGCCAACAAGGCCGTCAGGATCATCGAGGAGGGCAAGTGATGCAGAGTAGAGGGCACCACCTTGTTAGTGGCAGGATATCATGCCTGAATCCTGATGAAAGCTCTGTAGCAGCAGCATATCTATTCGTCTATCGTCTAGGAGAAGTTTAGACCTGAGACAACTCTGCACTTTGTTGAGACTTCCTATTATCCTCGAGGGAGCTATCTCTGCACTTTGTTGTACCTTCAATGTTATCCATGCTTTACTGTGAACCTGTAGTATGTTTCTAGACAAGTCATTTTGAGCTTTAGAGTGTATCAGGATGTCTCCATATGCATATGTATGCGCAAAGTGCTTTGAGCGACGATCTATTCAGCAATGAAAACAGCTAGTAGTTGGTGTGTTCAACAAAGCAGCCTGCCTAGCCGTGGAGACGTTAAATCCGTATCTATATGTATCAGCAAGTTTGAAGCAGCAGAATTTGTGGAAACATGTACAGACAGCACTAAGGATGGGTATGGGATGCACATAAACTACACTGGTGGTTCAATCATAGGCTAACTGACACGGTCTAGCATATGCTCAAAAAAAAAAAGACACGGTCTAGCATCCTTATAAAAAAAACACGGTCTAGCATTCAGAAGAGCACACCAGGGACAGACTAACATAGATTCTTCTTCATCAGGCTCAACTCTTCTTCCTTTCATGGCCTTTTGGTATTGGGGATTTGACTGACGGAGCAGCAGCAGCTGGGGGCCGACCCAAATCCAAGCTCTGCATCTCGCTTGCCAGCAGCGCCCTCCGTTCTTTCAGGAAGTTGAGCCGGTTTGTCAGCTTTACTAATGCCGTTGACGCTGCTGGTGGTATGCTTCCACCGAAATCCTGATCAGCAACAACATAGGAGCACTCATCATCACTAGCTCATCAATCGACAACATAGGAAAGGAGCATCATCTCATCTCATCTCAGGCACAAACCTCTAGTCTGCTGGATCCATGAAGCCCTCTTATCAATGGGCTATTTGAATACTGTTTCTGCGCAAGATTCCACTTCGAATTAGAGGATGATGACGACGACCCATCTTGGCCCTCCCTAGCAATCGATTGCCTTCTTTGAGGAGCCCTCTGGCTGATGCTCCCGACTGCCTCGTGACCTGGCTTGGCTGTCGAAGAAGGCGAATGCTGCGCGGTTTGCTTCCTTGACTGCTCAATATCACCCTGAAATGTTTTCTGTTCTTTTTAACCTGGAAAAGAGTTTCCTCCCGCTTATATTGAAAGCAGAATGAAAGGAATTTGGCACTCTTACAATGTCAGATGCAGAATCACCCCCAACAGTCGGTGACGCTTCCACTGATGAGCTTTCAGGTCTGGAGAAAGGGGCCCCAGTTTAGTACAAGTCTACAACCGAAATGACGCCAAAGAGTGAGAAAATAACAGACCAAAACCTTACCCGCCAAGCCTGTCTGTATTTACGAGCCGTTTGTTGCATGATTCACAGCACAGCAGCTGGCTGCTAACCTGCCCACGAAGATCAGAAACCTCTTGCTTCAAGTTCATAATATCAGATTCAGCAGTCGCAACTTCCTCAAGATCAGCCTTAGTCTTTAATTAACAGAGTAAACATTTTAAATCATGGAGAACAAAGGAACTCAGAATAAACTCACTAATCACTTCTTTAGGAAACTACCTTGCTGTCTATTGTTGACGGCAAGGACACCTGCCCTCTTCGCAAATTCATCACCCCGGACTCCAAGGATGTTCTCAAATTTCTCTCCTTCTGCAGCTGGTCCCTCAAACTTTCAACCTATTGAATCAACAATTTTTTGCTGTCAAAAAGAGAAATGTATGACTTACTCTGAGAAAACACACCCAAACACCTTCAGAGGAATGAAATACTACATGGCCATAATTTTGCATACTGAACACTTTGAGCATTATTTTATTGCAAAGCTTCTCATCTAATCACTGTGGCCTTTATTTCTTCTTGATGGCACAATGATCTCTTATCGAGACAAAGTGATCCAAAGCTACCTGGGTTTTACTGACCCAAAATGAAAAGAAAAGATAACCCTTCAGTTCTTACTTCTTTTTCAAGTGCTAAACGGCGCTCATGTAGTTCTTCTTTCCGCTTTTCTAGACTTGACTGTAGGATTGCATTTTCTTTGACCTATGAAAGAAAAGGAACAATATCATCTCATCGGGAGGTATACAATGCCACTTAACCCAATTCATGTGATCCTAGGGGAAAAGGCTTTACCTCCTTTGCAATTTTCGATTGGAGATCAATTTTGCTGCTCTCAAGTTTCTCAATAAGGGTCCTTGTTCAGAAGCCACATCAGAAAATAACTCAAATGTCAGCCAGAAATTGTGAAAGCTTCCTTGCATGTTTTATTTATTTTTCGTTCCAAACTGCTGTTAAGTTTTGTTTGTGATAGTTTTACTAGTTGAAGTCAACATGCAAACACTGAATTGAAGGACAGCTTCACAGTGAATAAGCGAATGGCAAATGGCAAGTTTGCGATAGTATTAAACAAAGACCAATATCACAAGTAACAAATAATGTATTGAGAAAGAAAAGCTGGAAAAAGATTGTGGTGCTTTCAAAGTATATATGTTTGCAATTCTTTCAATAAAATAGGACATGCCCAAAGGCCAAAGGTGTCAGGCCACTTACTCATCATCGCTGCAGCATTCAATCTCCTCTGTTGACAGGTCTTTCCTTGCCTGTATATCAAGTGTTCCCATAAAACCTACCAGCATTAATATGAAGAACTGTACCAATAACATTTTCACTTACTGAAGTACGGCCCCATAAGGTTCTTTTGCCCTTCTCCATAGATTTTTCTCTGGAAGATGATGAACGAGAAGTTGATCTTAGTATACGATCTTTGGATCCATTTGGTCCACATGATTCTTGTTTCTGGTTGGATTGAGTATTGATCTCCATATGAGAGGTATCCTCTGCCTGTGCACCTTCTATGGAAAATGAATTAAGCGGAGAAGAATTTTGATCAGTGCCTTCCCTTGATGCACCATTTTCTATCTCGCTGCTCTTATAGGAGGTTAAAGATACTGGTTATTTTCATTACCTGCAGTTTCTGAGATATTGTTTTTAACCTATGGACCAAGAAAAATTGAAGTCAGAGACCTAAAGCTGCAGTTCTGAAAAATACATGTGTTCTACACCAAATGAGCAAAGTTATTTGCAACTTTGTATGATCTTTGAAGCAGTAGTCTAAACTATTCTTCAATATTGTATCCAAGAGCATAGTGTGACCAAGGTTTTCTTGTGTAAGAATATAGTTACAAACACCGCAAAGCGATTTGCAGTATATGATGCACTTAGAAGTCTCCATGAAATAAAAGCAGTTATTGATATAACCATCTTTATAAAAATATAAATACCACTGTTTAAAAGTGGAAAAATTTGACCACACACATAACTTAGGCACCCATATTAATGGACAAAACATATGAGCCAAGGAGCTAATCTATGCATGCTAAAAGGAAGAAAAACAGGGTAACCTCAGAAATTGAAATAATAAAATATAGCACATTGAAACAAGAATCATATCATGAAAGGCTGCAAAAAGCTAACATCTGTCTCGAAGGACCTTCCAATGCCAGCATGGAGAATATCTCATCTATAATGTTTTGGAATCCATACAATGATCAGTGAAGTACCTTGCCATCCTTGACATTAGCGTTGATCTCATGTTCACTGTCATCAGAGTAGTCCAAGTCTTCTTCAATGTCATCTTCACCAGAATCATAAGAATCATCGTCATCATGGATGTCATTATCTGTGGAATATTCCTTATCAACATCATCATCCTCAGACTCGGTATAAGCATCTGAAGAACAGGAACCTTCTTCCAAGTCCTGTATGATAATCAGTTGTTATAACTCATGAATGGCTACGGGAAGTACTTCAAATGGATCCAGTAAAAATAGGATACATCAAATATCTGATCAAATTCCTCCATCATAATAATAACAATAGCTTGTGCATGATTCGCAGCCGCAGCAGCTTGAAGTAGCTGGAATGAACTGTCCCCTCCCATACTAAATTCATTGTCTATGTCACATTCTCCAAGAAGAAGAGGTCGAAGGAGGAGTGGTGCCATGCAAGCTGCCAAAGCAGATTGAGACATCCTATTCACAGCTTTGTGTGACTCAACAATTTGCATCATCTTAAGAGTCCTGAAAGAAACCTGATTAGTCTGGAGCCCATTTGTTGGAATAATTTTGTTATGGTTCTACAGGATAATGTAACTCAGTCAAATTGATTATAATGATATCAAGGGATGAGAAGCCCCCATCAAGAATGAAAATCCAGCTATGACGCCACAGGAATTAAGATTGTTAAGTATAAAGCTTTGGTTGGCAAGAAAATATGATATAAGCATATAAGTTAGATACCTCTGCAACAATTGTCGATTTGGTTCTGGGAAAACTTCATATATCACCCTATTTATCTCATCAAGTCTTCTTGCCTTGTCACTTCCTGTATAACACTAGTCTTGATCATTGTATGATTCTAACATATCAAAATGCTGTAGATAAGGGCATATATTGATTTAATTATGTGTAGTTACTTTATGACATCAATTGGGATTATATATCAGTTTGATTGATAAATTCAGAAATGCAAGATAACTACTGAATGCATAAACAAAGTTTCAAATCAATCTTACGGTATGCTTTAACCAGGGCAGTGCAACATGATGCAGGAACTGGAGATGATGGCATCTCTCGAAGAACATACTGTATAAAAGGAAAACCAGGCAAATATCAGTGAAGAGCATTCCTTTTTAGTGAGATTGTAATCAACACTTGCCAAATATATACCTTAATACAGTCACCAATAACATGAGCATCCTCTTCTGGGGAGAACTCGTTTTTCCCTAAAAAACAAATTAAATGTGTCTTAAATAGTACAAAGAAGAAGGTAAAGCAGTCAAAGCAAATAAAAATACAATTCCCACATTATTATGGCCCTCCTAAAATATCTTCATGAAAACATAGTGAAGAAGACAGATTATTTTATTAATTGAACTAAAGACTGCCAAACACCAAAAGTAGTTATCCTAGATAAGAAAAGAAAAGGTTCAGTCCAAAGAAATCACCCTTTTCATAATCCCGAATTCTGCGTTTGACTTCTTCAACATCAGCAGACTGACGCAGGATGCCCTCTACCTTGACCCCTACAGATAAAGGGTTTTTTTTGTGTGTGTTAGGACTGTGCTGAATGATTTATAGCCATTTATGCTTTTACTCACCATAACGTAAAATTTGGCAAGATTGCGTAATGACCGCAATAACCAAAAGAACTTACCATGATCTTCAATGAACTTCAGGGCCTTCTCCAGAAATGATGGACTACCATCAGCATCTACTAGTGCAAATTCTGCAGGTCTGCCAATAACAGAACTGTCCTCCGCTGCACCACAAACAACTGAACTTGCTTAGCATAATGAAATGTAAGGATCCATCCCTCTCCCTCCCACAAAAAAAGTTCAGTTATCAGCAAATGCAGGAGTTCCATTCTACTATTTACAATTAGCGCAGTGATGTCTCTAAGTTGATCATCGCCCTTGCACGCGCTACCCTGGAGTCAGTGGCACTTGATTTATTTGCCTCTCTAGATGGCCTTTCGTTTTTAGGATCACCTTGTGAACTATTAAGAGTTTGGTTGTATGGTTGCTTGAGTGTGCATTTTTTTTTTGTAATAAATGTGGCTGATTCCTCTATTTTGAGGATGAAGCTGGATTCTTTCCATTATGTAAAAAAAAGACGCAGGCATATTATAAACATCTAATATCTCAATGGTGAGCAAGTGATGAAAATTAACACAGCTTACACTGTTCAGCTGGAGCTTCAGCAGGTTCTGCTGCTACATCAGTGCTGAATATTGGATTTTGCCCCATTGTATTTGCTATGCTTGGTGCCTGTGCTAGAGCACTCTCCAGTGCATTTCTCCACTCATTTAGATCTTCTGCAGTTTCTGCCTGCTTGGTGAAAATTCATACTATTAAATCATAAATAATAACATACAAGTATGGTACCTGTAACAAATTAATGGAACAAAAACGAGCCAATTTCTACAGTGTTACGGCATAGACCCCTGCAAGCTCCTAAGGAACTAGAACTAGCATGGCCCTCCCTCAATCTAACCAAGTAACCATCACTACTGCTACTTCAGTCACTACCAGCCACACTCAGTTGTGCAAACCGTAACAAATAACCAAACCCAACTGGAACACCGGAAGCAATATGCCAGACATTGTATGAACTGGACAACTAACCTTCAGAGTGAAAGTTCGTCCATCACGGCCATCAGGAAAGAACACTGTCAAAAGTTTCCTTTCTTCTTTGACGACAACACTTAACCATTCCCCAATATTATAAGCTTATCAGACAATATAGAAGAATCATCAACCTTTCGTCAAAGTTTCGGTTTCATTGCATACCTTCCGGAGCTATTCAAGTCGATTCCACCAAGTGTAACAATTGGTTCAGCTCCTCTGGGTGGAGGCACATTCTGAAATTAAAGCACAAAATTGGGAGTGAGTACTGTGTTATTTTTTTTAAGAAACCAAACTTCAAAAATGGAAAGAAAAAACAAGCTTTAGCAATTGTACTTATGGCTTGATACAACAAAAAATAACCTTTTGTGCAACTTTTGTTATCTAACTAATAGGACGAAAAGTAACTATCCCACTTCACCACTAGTATCACCAGAATGTTTCAACAACAACAACAAAAAACCTTTAAGTCCCAAACAAGTTGAAGTAAGCTAGAGTTGAAACCCAGCAGAAGCAATCAAGGTTCAGGCACGTGAATAACTGTTTTCCAAGCACTCCTATCTAAAGCTAAGTCTTTTGGTATATTCCATCATTTCAAGTCTTCTTTTATTGCCTCTACCCAAGTCAACTTCGGTCTTCCTCTGCCTCTCTTCACGTTACTATCCTGGCTTAGGATTCCACTACGCACCGGTGCCTCTGGAGGTCTCCGTTGGACATGTCCAAACCATCTCAACCGGTGTTGGACAAGCTTTTCTTCAGTTGGTGCTACCCCTAATCTATCACGTATATCATCGTTCCGAACTCGATCCCTTCTTGTATGACCGCAAATCCAACGCAACATACGCATTTCCGCGACACTTAGATGTTGAACATGTCGTCTTTTCGTAGGCCAACATTCTGCACCATACAACATAGCAGGTCTAATCGTCGTCCTATAAAACTTGCCTTTTAGCTTCTGTGGTACCCTTTTGTCACATAGGACACCAGATGCTTGGCGCCACTTCATCCACCCTGCTTTGATTCTATGGCTAACATCTTCATCAATATCCCTGTCTCTCTGTAGCATTGATCCTAAATATCGAAAGGTATCCTTCCTAGGCACTACTTGACCTTTCAAACTAATATCTTCCTCCTCCTGAGTAGTAGTGCCGAAGTCACATCTCATATACTCAGTTTTAGTTCTATTGAGTCTAAAACCTTTGGACTCCAAAGTCTCCTGCCATAACTCCAGTTTCTGATTCACTCATGTCCGGCTTTCATCAACTAGCACTACATCGTCCGCGAAAAGCATACACCAAAGGATGTTTCCTTGTATGTCCCTTGTGACCTCATCCATCACTAAGGCAAATAGATAAGGGTTTAAAGCTGACCCTTTATGTAGTCCTATCATAATCGGGAAGTCATCCGTGTCTCCATCACTTGTTCGAACACTAGTCACAACATTGTTGTACATGTCCTTAATGAGCTCGACGTACTTCGTTGGGACTTTATATTTGTCCAAAGCCCACCACATAACATTCCTTGGTATTTTATCATAAGCCTTCTCCAAGTCAATAAAAACCATGTGTAGGTCCTTCTTCTTCTCCCTATACCGCTCCATAACTTGTCTTATTAAGAAAATAACTTCCATGGTTGACCTTACAGGCATGAAACCAAATTGGTTCATAGAGACCCGCGTTATTGCTCTCAAGCGATGCTCGATAACTCTCTCCTATAGCTTCATAGTATGGCTCATCAACTTAATTCCCCGGTAATTAGTATAACTTTGAATATCCCATTTATTCTTGTAGATCGATACCAATATACTTCTTCTGCACTCGTCAGGCATCTTATTCGATCGAAAAATATGGTTGAACAGCTTGGTTAGCCATACTATAGCTATGTCCCCGAGACATCTCCACACCTCGATTGGGATACTATCTGGTCCCATCGCCTTACCTCCTTTCATCCTTTTCAACGCCTCTCTGACCTCAAATTCTTGGATTCTCCGCACAAAGCGTCTATTGGTGTCATCAAAAGAGTCATCCAACTGAAAGGTTGTGTCCGTATTCTCACCATTGAACAATTTATCAAAATACACTTGCCATCGATGTCGGATCTCATCCTCCTTCGCCAAGAGATGCTCCATTTCATCCTTAATGCACTTAACTTGGTTGAAGTCCCTTGTCTTTCTCTCATAAACCCTAGCCATCCGATAAATGTCCTTCTCTCCTTCCTTCATACTCAAATGTTGGTAAAGATCCTCGTACGCTCTACCCTTTGCCACACTTACAGCTCGCTTTGCAGTCTTCTTTGCCACCTTGTACTTCTCTATGTTGTCCACACTCCTGTCATATTACAAGCATCTATAGCATTCTTTCTTCTCCTTAATAGCCCTTTGAACTTCCTCGTTCCACTACCAAGTATCTTTAACCTCTGTAGAGACACACCTCACACCCAATATGGGGGGAGTGACCTTCATATATATAGCCAATATGGCTGGGTATACAAGGAATACAATCAAGTATACATAGCAGGTGTTAATTATAGCTAATCACACATAGACCTGCCTAATACCCGCCCGCAGTCTAAGCTGGAGGATCCCGGACGCATAGACTGGACCTGAATTTAGTAAATAGCTGTACAGGAAGGCCCTTGGTCATTATGTCTGCGAACTGGTGAGAGGACGGCACATGAAGAACCCGAACTTGTCCCAAGGCGACCTTCTCACAGACGAAGTGAATGACAATCTCAATGTGCTTCGTGCGACGATGATGAACGGGGTTGGTTGTCATGTAGACAGCGCTGACATTGTCACAGTAGACAACCGTCGCCGAAGCAATGGAGACATGGAGCTCGAGGAGTCCGGCGTGCCCAAGAACACTCGCCACCACATGAGCAACAAAGACGGTACTCGCTTCAGACCGGAGGAGCGGAGACCATGGTCTGACGCTTGGAGGACCAAGAAATCAGATTGTCGTCGAGGTAGACACAATAGCCGGAGGTGGAGCGCCAAGAATTTGGGCAGCCAGCCTAGTCGGCATCGGAGTAGGCGACGATGATGAAAACAGGCGACACCAATGTGGAGGCCAGAGGAGAGAGTGCCCTTCAGGTAGCGTAGGATCCGCTTGATCATCGAGAGGTGCGGCTCGCGGGGATCATGCATGAAGAGGCACACCTATTGGACGGCGTATGCCAAGTCAGGACGAGTCAGCGTGAGGTACTAGAGCGCGCCAGCAAGGCTCCGGTACGCGGACGGATCAACAACAGGAGCACCAGCGGTTGTGGATAGCTTGGCCTTAGTGTCAACAGTGTCGACGTAGAGTGACACTCACCATGCCATGCCATGCTGCGCAAGAAAAGCTCAATAGCGTCATCGTCGTCATATGGAGAACAAAGCCGTCGACGGCGAGTGACGGAGATCCCGAGGAAGTGATGGAGTGCGCCCAGGTCAGTCATGGCAAACTCAGAGTGGAGGTGCCCAATGACCTGCTGAAGAAATGCCGTCGAGGACACAGCAAGGACGATGTTGTCGACGTAGAGGAGCAAGTAGGCGATACTGGTCCCATCTTTGTAGACAAAGAGGGAGGTGTCGGAAGTCGAGGCGACGAAACCGAGCTGGCGAATGTATGTCGCAAAACGCTGGTACTAGGCTCGGGGAGCCTGCTTCAGGACGTAGAGGGAGCGCTACAACAGACACACATGGTCAGGAAAAACAGGGTCGACGAAGCACGGGGCTCTTTGGCGATGAAGCGACGTCTCTCTAGATGTCCATGGAGAAAAGCGTTCATGACGTCTAGCTGATGGATAGGCCAGGCGCGTGAGGCAGCAATGCTGAGAACAGCCCGGATGGTTGCTGGTTTCACCACCGGGCTGAATGTCTCGTCGTAGTCGATGTCGTGGCGCTAGGAGAAGCCATGAACCACCCAGCAAGCCTTGTGGCAGGCAAGGGTACCGTCGGAGTGGTACTTGTGCTTGAATATCCACTTGCCTGTGACCACATTGGCGCCGGGTGGCCGGGGCACGAGGCGCCATGTCCCGTTGTCGATGAGCGCCTTGTACTCCTCAGCCATGGCCGCACGCCAATTTGGATCAGCCAAACCGCTATGGTAGTTGGCGGGAAGCGGAGACGGAGTGGTTGTCGTAGAGAGACCCACATACCGCATAACTATGGCCCAGACCAGGTCCACGTGATGTGTCGTTCTCGGTGTATGAGGTGTTTGGTGTGCTGCAGGCACTGTGGCTCTTCTGGACGAGCGGGACCTCTTTGTCAGACAAGCGAGAGAGGCTACCGGATGGCATAGGAGCTTCTTCGACAGTGCACGAGCCGTCCCCGTCTTTAGAGAACCTGGCTTCATGCACTTGGGGACGCCAGTGAGACAAGTCGGATGTCCCTAGCTGGTGGAGCGGTGAACAACAACGCTAGAGCCGGGCAGCCACCGGAGGAGCAAAGGTGGTGGATCGGCTGCTCGATGGAGCAGCAGCAGTAGTATGGGGCTATGAAACAAGATCATGGAGTCGTCGGTCAACTCCTCAATGAATCCTTGGTGTGGCTGCCCAACAAAGCAAGGGGCAAGGATGCAGACGACCGCACTGACAGTAGTACCAAGCAAAAAAAAATCCAGGTCTCTTGCGAGGACCTAGAGGGGTAAAGCCCAAAGGGAAAACAAGTATCATCGAAGACCACATGGCGAGAGATGATGACACGCTGAGTGGCCATGTCGAGGCAGCGATACCCCTTGTGGGAAGAGGGATAGCCAAGAAAAACACAAGCTGTGGAGCGAGGGGAGAGTTTGTGGCGAGCCGTGGCGGTCAAGTTCGGATAACATAAACACCCAAAGACACATAAGTGGGAGTACTCGGGAGGTTTGTTGTGGAGGAGGGTATATGGAATGGTGTGGCGAGCAATGAGAGCATGGACGCATGTTCGAAGATATGTGGTTGTGGCGGCGCCTCGGCCATCTTGGCGAGCATGTGTGGATGGAGGAGCATCGTGCGGTTGATGTTGTTCAATGTGCGAAGAAGGCGTTCAGCCTTGCCATTTTGTGGGGAGGTATATGGACACGAGAGGCGTAAATGAATACCACGGGAAGCAAAGAGAGTATGGAGGGTATTGTTTACGAACTCAGTGCCATTGTCGGCTTGGACAGCTTTGATGGCAAGGCTGAATTGAGTGTGGACATAATTGCAAAAATTTGTAATATGTGTGGGGACTTCAGATTTGCGAGTGAGGGGAAAGGTCCAACAGAAATGAGTGAAATCATCAAGTAAAACGAGATAATATTGATACCCGTATACACTGGCAACCGGGGATGTCCATACATCACAGTGAACAAGTTCAAAAGGCATGGAGCTAAATGAACTAGAATCTGAAAAAGGAAGGCGCACATGTTTGCCAAGCTGACAAGAATGACATGGTTGGTGCTCTACTTTATTACAGCCGATGGACGCATTACGACGAAGAATGTCAATAGTGGCGGAGCTAGGATGACCAAGACGGTGATGCCAGAGGTCGGTGGAGATGGTGATGTTGGCATGTGGAGCGGAAGACGCAGCAGGGAAGGTGTAAAGGTCGCCAGCACTATTGCAGCGAAGCATCACGCGTCGGGTCAGGATATCCTTGATAGAAAAACCAAGAGTGTCAAATTCTACAGAGCAGTTGTTGTCCCTAGTAAATTGACGGACAAATAGCAGATTGTAGACTAGGGATGGGACAACTAAGACATTATTAAGATGAAAATTTGACTCTGGTGTATGAAGGACAGACTCGCTACGACATGAAATAGGAAGAGTTTGACCATTGCCAACGGTAATGGAAGAGTAAGGAGGAGGATGGCGAGAAAGGAGTATACCATCCGAGGAGCTCATGTAGGAGGAGGCGCCGGAGTCCAGGACCCAGGGATGCTAGCCCTGGAGATGCATCTGATTGAGTGCAGCAACCAGACCATCCTGGTTCCACATGGGAGCCTGTTGGGAGACGTGGAGTGGCGCAAATGTCGTCGGGGGCTGCGTAGGCGCGAAGGCCGTGTGAGCCTGAGGAGGAGGGACGCCAAGCATGCTTGGGCGCCAGCCGCCCTGCTGAGCCAAAGGAGGGCCCTGTGGTGCCCATGGATTGTAGCAAATCTAGGGGACCATGGGTCGGTATTGGCCATTCTGGCCAGCCAGCTGGGACGCGCTTGCAACGCCGCCGCGCTGCTGCGCAGGGCCGCTGTTCCAGCCACGCCGGCCCTTGCCCTTGCTCTTGCCGCCGTTGCTGTTGCCACCACCGCTGCCCTTGTTACTGCTGCCATAGCCGGTCACGTGTGGTTTGTATGCACCTCCAGAGGTGGCTGTGGTAGCGAGAGCACGGCACCCGCCTGGGCTGGTGTAGCCAGACCCGGCGGTGGCGAGGAGGGCGGTGCTGGCGACCGTCTTTTCATCGTTGGTGAGACGGAGCTCCTTTAGTGCCAGCATGTCATGGGCTCTAGCGAATGTGAGAAGTACAGCGAAGTTGGCGATGTCGTCGGCGGTGTTGGAGAAGCGAGAATTGAGGCCACGCAGAAGGGCGAGGACGAGCTGCGAGTCCTCGACAGGATGGCCAACGTCACGAAGAGCGACGGCCTTGGTCTTCGGCCATTGGCAATATGCCTAGATGGTGCTGTCACTTTGCACCATAGAGTGAAATTCGTTGAGGAGGAAGATGGCGCGTGGCTCCCGGTTGGCGCGGAAGATCCCCTCAATGGCCACCCATAGATCACGGGCGGTTGGATCGGCACTGTCCATGGCGAGGTCGAGGACGGAGTCATCGACGGAGCCGGAGATCCAGCCCTGGACGCAGCACTCCGCGGCATCCCACTAAGGATCATCAGGTCGAGGGGGAGCAGAGCCGTCGATGTGCAAGCGAAGGCCGAACTTGCCGCACAGCGACTTGAAGAAGAACGCCCACTTGGAGTAGTTGGATTGAAGGTCCAGCGTAATCGGGATGTGAGACTTGACATTGACTGTGGCGTAGTGGTGAGCCACGATCGGTGCAGCAGCGCCGGCACTCATGGCAGGCATGGTGGGAGTGCCTGTCGCGGGCAGGGTGCCAGCACCAGTGGCTGGGGAGGAGGCGGAGGTGAGGGAGGCCGACGTGTCCATCGGAGAGGAGAGAGGGAGCAGCAGGTGAGGGTGGACGGGCATGAGGGAGTCGCGCGTGTTGGGGCTGCGACGCGATCAGGAAGGGGTCACGCAGGGGGAAGGGTGGAAAAATAGGATCTGATAGTCTGATACCATATAGAGACACACCTCACACCCAATATGGGGGGTGACCTTCATATATATAGCCAATATGGCTGGATATACAAGGAATACAATCAAGTATACATAGCAGGTGCTAATTATAGCTAATCACACATAGACCTGCCTAATAGCCTCACCTCCACTTCCTTTGGTTACTCTACACACCTTTGAGGCCACCTTCCGAATGTTGGTTACCATCTTCTCCCACATGTTGTTTATGTCCTCTTCTTTCTTCCAAGAGCCCTATTTGATAACCCTTTCCCAGAATACCTCTGACGTCTCCCCTTTCAGTTTCCACCACTTTGTTCTTTCAATCTTAGCTTGTTTATCCCTATGAGCACGCACCTGAAAACAAAAGTCTGCCACCAAAAGCTTATGTTGAGAAACAGCACACTTCTCTGGTATCACCTTACAACCCAAGCATGCTCGTTTGTCCTTTCTTCTTGTGAGGACAAAGTCAATCTGGCTAGAGTGTTGTCTGCTACTGAAGGTCACTAGATGAGATTCTCTCTTTCTAAAGAAAGTGTTGGCTATCATCAGGTCAAAAGCTACCACGAAGTCCAGAACTTCCTCTCCCTCCTGATTCCTACTACCATACCCAAAACCTCCATGAACTGCCTCGAAACCTGCGCTTATAGTACCTACATGCCAATTAAGATCCCCTCCTATAAAAAGCTTCTCGCTACTAGGTACAGCTCTAATCAGGCCATCTAAGTCTTCCCAGAACTGTCTCTTAGCACTCTCGTCGAGGCCTACTTGGAGGGCATATGCACTAATTACGTTCAAGATCATATCACCAACGACAAGCTTGACTAAGATAATCCTATCTCCTTGCCTTCTCACTCTTACCACACCATTCTTGAGGCTCTTATCAATCAAAACTCCTACTCCATTTCTATTCACGACTGTCCCTGTGTACCAAAGCTTGAAACATGTATTGTCCACCTCCTTCGCCTTCTGACTCTTCCATTTAATCTCTTGAACGCATAATATATTTACACGTCTCCTAGTCGCGGTATCAACTAATTCTCTTAACTTACCTGTAAGCTACCCTACATTCCAACTACCTAAATGGATCCTAGTTGGTTCGACTAGCTTCTTTACTCTTCGCACCCGTCGACTCAGATGTGAAGACCCTTACTCATTTTTCACTACACCCGGCGCCGATGTAGCGCGCCACTAAAGAAGCAACGACCCGATCCTGTGTATCACCAGAATGTTTCCCCTGACAAAATGTGTATGCAATGATAATTGTATTCTGATTTCCATCACAGCAGAGTAATGTCAATTCGATAATCTATAGTGGTATCTGAGCAACAATATGCCCCTATCACAAGTAGCTGTGCGTATAGGTAAATAATCATGGTATAGCCGTATTGAGAGGGCCCAATAAAAACAGAACTCAGTCAGTCTAGCAGATACTATATCGCCAGCCACTACCTGGTAATGACTAACAAAGTAAAATGAGACTTACAGCCAAAGTAAAACTTGAAGAAAATATTATCTCATTAATAAAGTGCAGGTTTCACATTGTTATGGTCATTTGGGAGTGTATTTGCTAGGATCTCCTCGCGAGAAGCGGATTAGCATTACTAAAGCTTCTTTAGTGTTCTTCATTACAAGAAAAAATATTTTACCTCAAACATATGAATAAGATATCACAGAGAGAAGATTGACGTATGAATAATGATGTAAATAAACACAAAAAAGTACATATAATACAGTAGAACTTAAGGAAAAGGAGGAACATTGAAGGAACTAGTGCAGTATATCTTACAGGGTCACTTCTGAAGAACACTAGGGATGCCCTTGTAAGAATAAACCAGCGCTTTTTCCATGATGTCCATCCAATTCCTGTTTATAGAAGATTTAATATGTAGTGTTTTATCTCGAAAGTAAAATGTGATCAACTATGGAAGTCACTAAGTGGGGCAGCCAAGCTTTGACGCTTAAACAAAATATGACCATTTGGCACTAAAAAAGGGATAGCATAAATAAACTATTTAAGATATTAAAGGAGAGGGAGGAGAACACAGAGTTTATGCAATATCATACATATTCGCAGGAAAGCATACCTTTAGATGAAAGTAGTAAATGTCCACTCTTAAGAACCTGCACTAGAAAATGTTTATCATTGTCCTCAAATTTTTTTACAAAGATACGGAGAACATAACCAGGTATATTTCTCTATTTTTACTGTCCATCACGACTTAAATAATAGTATACTTTGCAACAATAAGATAAGTTTCTAATAACTTTCACTTTGACTATATGCTGAGGCACAACCAAGTTGCAGATAAGCATCAGTGGCAGACATGCACAGTGATGACAACTTGTGAAAACATCAAATTGTATAAAGTCAGCTGATACGTGTTGAGCAGCGTATTAGTTATAGGACACGGTATATCATTAAAAAGGCCATTTCTTTTATTTTCTTTACTGCAGCACAAAGCCTTTTAGTTGTAAGATTACACAAACCTGGCAACTAGGACAAGAGGTCGGTGGGCTGTCACCAGTTTCAGATGTGGAGTTCGGGTCTCCCTCCCCACATCGACTTACATTCTCAGTAGGCTGTGAAGAAGAAACCTATCAAGAGAATTAAACAAAGTGAAGTGAACATGTAGAACAGTGCCTCGGTCAAACAAATAAACAGTGATCTTGTGAACTTGACTCTAGTGCAAAAGGGAGGGGGGGCTTTTTAC